GGTGTGGGGAAGGGTGGGGAGGGGTGGGGAGGTGTGGGGAGAGAGGGGGAGAGATGGGGAGAGATGGGGAGAGGTGGGGAGAGGTGGGGAGAGATGGGGAGAGATGGGGAGAGGTGGGGAGAGATGGGGAGAGATGGGGAGAGGTGGGGAGAGATGGGGAGAGGTGAGGAGAGATGGGGAGAGATGGCGAGATATACAGCCGGCGCACTCGAGTGGACCGCCCACAGCGTCTCATCCGCCCTGAGTCTCCCCTCAGTCCGCGGCGCGGGACAAGATGTGTTTTGCGCGAGCCAAAGCTGCTGATGGCGCATCTAGAGCGTGCTGTGCCCCCGGGCAAGCCAGCGTGCCAGCAAAAGCAATTTCCCACCACTCGCCACACTGAGAGGCAGCCGAGCGAGGAGAAGGTGGTGAAGATGAGCACCTTGTACGCCAGCTCGACTGTGCACGCCTCATGTGAGCGGAAGAACGACGCGTCGCTCGTGTTTTGCATGCACCTGGGACCGGGAAGAGGGAGTGGGTCCCTACGCGCTGGACCCTTGAGCCTCGCGTGATCTCGGGATGGCGGGCACATGATGAACTCGTTGAAAGACGACACGAAGCCCCACCCCGAGACCTGAAGGGTTATCGAGCTGGCAGGCGGCGGCACCGGCAGGAACGGCTCAATGGCCGCGATGCCGAGCCCGTAGGGAAGCATGAGCGGCAGCATGGTCAGCATGACCGGTCCGTGGTGCTTCAGGATGTCCGTGCCTACAGTGGGCCGCACGCCACACGCCTAGAGCAGCCGCGTCGCGCGGGGGTGAGGCGCGCGTCCCGAGTGAGCGCCGCTCTTGCACCGACTATACGGGATGACGTCGAAGACGACGACGAGCAGCACGTCCCATGAGTATGCGGCAAAGGTGGCCAGCGTGAGCACGAGGAAGGCGGCCCTGTTGCTGCTGCAAGGCACGTCGCTCTTGAGTGACGCGATCAGGTTGCGAACCGAGATTGCGACGACGTGCAGGTGAAGGGCCTAGGGGAGTGACGCGGCGCAAACAGATCAAATCTAGACCGCTTCGCGTCAGACGACGTCAACCATGGAGCCAGCTAGTGCGCATAGAGATCGCCCGGTTTCCGCATCTACTGCAGCGCCGCAGCGACGCCGCAGAGGAGCGAGGCCTTCGTGGATGGCCCTTGCTTGCGGGACGGCAAGGGATGGTGCTGCTCCGCGTGGACGGCAGTCAAGGCTTCCGCCGTGGCGACAAAACTCGACGAACCACGCTTCAGCACCACCGCGACGCTGCTGCTCACCTTCTTGGCCACCACCGCGACGCTGCTGCGGCGTGGCGGCACCGGCGAGGGCGGTGGCGGCTCGCTCCCTTCCTCCCCGCCGTCGCGGGCTCGCTTGTGCCGCAGGTGTACGTACGCGAGGTAGCCGGCAGCAAGCCCGGCGGTTGCGGCGAGGCCGGTCGATGTCGAGAGGGGCATATACGTACATCTGTGTGTCTTGTCTCTCTCGACACTACAACTACGTCCGTCCGTAATACCCGTCCTGATTGCAATATGTTCCGTTCCTTTGCGGGACGGCTGGGTTTCCGGTCCACTGGCTGGGCGTTCAAAACGGGCTGTCCCCTCTCGCGACAGTGCCGCGATGCACCTCCATGGTGAAGTCACCGACAGGGTCCCTAACCAGGTGGCAAGTCATGTCACATGTGCGACCCCGAAACCCTATACCTTAAGGTAAGTCCCTGCTAATGCTGGCCTCGTCCCCTCAAGTTGAGCAGCTTGCCTTGGCTTCGACTGCTCAGACATTGGAGGAGATCAGGGGATGGTGGTGGGTAGAAGAATTTAAACAAAACAACTCTCTCTCACAGCACACAGGCTCGACACAGGTGCGAACTGGCGCGTGCTAGTACTATCACCGGCACACCACCGGAGCCTAAGCGACTCCGTTAAGGGTAGAAGAATGGTGAATGCGAGAAGAGCTGAGCCAGAAGCTGTCCTGAGGGAGGGTGTAGAGGATGTAGAGTGTAGAGCGCTGTAGAGCTGTAGAGATGTAGAGCGCTTAGATCTGTAGAGCTCTAGAGCTCTACATCCGCCGCGTGACGAGGCGGGTGGCGGGTGCGTTGTAGAGCGATGTGGAGGCGCTCGACAACGTGAAATCGTGCCCCCGCAAGTGAAAAACGCGCCCACCATGGTTATGCTTCAGAGGGTGCGCTGCATACCAACCATCCTGGCCGCCTCGCTGGCGGGCCGAGCGTGTGCCGTGGGAACCGTCAGCGTCTCGGGGCCAAAGGCGCGGATGTTCAAGAACGGCGGCCACCCGCTCGTCTTTGAGGGCGCCATCAAGCGAACGGAGAACGTGCAGGTCGGCGAGGCGGTTGACGTCCTCGACGGAGCAGGCGAGCTGATTGGCTGGGGTGTCTGGAATCCCCACTCACTCTACCGCGTGCGCATGCTCGTCCCGGCTATCGAGCGCGACCAGCTGGAGCACCGCTCGATCTCAGAGATCGTGCGGCGGCGGCTGCAGGCGGCGGCGTCTCGCCGAGCGGCGTGCTGCCTGCCTTCGGAGAGCACGACGGCCTACCGGCTGGTCAACAGCGAGGGCGATCGCCTCTCCGGCCTAACGGTCGATGTCTTTGGGTCGACCGCGGTCGCCATCAGCTCGGCCCTCTGGCTCGAGCTGCGGCGCGAGGCCGTGGAGGTGGCCCTGCTCGAGCTGGCCGGCATCGAGACAGTCGTCTGGCGCAGGAGCGACGGCAGGCTGCGCACGGACGGCTGGAATCCCCCCGAGGCCAGCGGGACGGCGGAAGGGGAGGCGGACGGCGTGGGCGGCGGCGGCGGAGGTGAGGGCGGAGGCGGCGGCGGCGGAGCATGCGGCCCGCAGGCGGAGAGGCCGGCGCCGGCGCCACCGGTCACCGTGCTCGAGAATGGGCTCAAGTACCTGGTGGCGCCGGTTCTGGGACAGAAGAGCGGCTTCTACTGTGACCAGCGGGACAATCGGGCCATGCTCGCCGAATTGTGCGCCGGCCGGCGGCTCCTGGACCTGTACTGCTACTCTGGAGGCTTCTCGCTCGCCGCCGCCGCGGCGGGGGCGACGAGCACGCATGGGGTGGACTCGTCGGCGGCCGCGATCGGCTTGGCGCAGAGCAACGCGGCGCTCAACGGCTTCGGCAGCGTGTGCGAGTTCAGCCAGTCGGACGTGCCTGCTTTCCTCAAGCGGGAGGGCGTGGCGGAGAGCTTCGACGTGGTCGTCTGCGACCCGCCCAAGCTGGCGCCGTCTGTCAAGGACCTGAGGCGCGCGGGGCGAAAGTACCGCCAGATCAACTCCCTCGCGATGAGCGCGGTGCGGCCAGGCGGGCTCCTGCTCTCGTGCACTTGCTCCGCCGCGATGACACAGTCCGGTGGGTTTCTCCCCATGCTGCACGAGGCCGCCACCGCCGCAGGTCGATCACTCACGGTGCTGCGCACCAGTGGGCCGGCTTGCGACCACACGCTGCACCCCTGCTGCCCGGAGAGCAACTACCTCACGGCGGTGCTCGTGCAGGTCAGCTGACGGCGGGTGCCGCGGGCTACGGCAGCCGCTCCCCCGGTCTGACGGTCGTTGGCTGTCCTCTTTTCTGCGAGCGATTGCAGCGACCGTGGGTTTCTCAGCATCTCGCGGGCTGCGTCTCTGTCTGCCTGGTAGCTGGGTGCGGTGGCGGGGAGTCTGCAGTCTCTCTGGTTCTGGTGGCTTTTGTGGTGCGGCCCGATGTCATCCGTCGTTTTCACAAAAAAAGAGTGTCAGCGTCTCACTGAGCCTATTGGTCTTGGCCTTGCAGTATGGCCACCCCCTCCAAGCTTGCGCTTAGGAATAGGATGGCCCGCTGCCGCGACTGCCGCCACCGCAGCTCGCGGTGGAGGCAACTGCTCTCCCGAGATCGCGAGGCCGCCATACGTCGAGCGGACGCCGACGCAGCCCGACAGCGACACGTCGATGAGCAAGTCGTCGTCCGCTGCTGCGGCGGCGGCGCATCCGTCGTCCACCGCCGCTGCTTTTACTTTTGCACCGGCGCACCTCCCCCACTCCCTGCCGGGCGAGGGTGCGCCCAGCGAGCCGGGGCTGCCCCGCGGCCGCTTCTCCCTCGCGCCGCGGGCCACAGCCACCGGGCTGCAAGAGGTTACGTGCAGGACGCGCGAGAGGGCGACCCCGAGATCCGCGTCGTCGAGAAGCCGCCGGCGCGGGTGCCCGCGCGCCACTCGGTACTCGACACACACGCCGGCGGCGGAGGGAGCGCACAGCAGCGGGGCGTCGCCTGCCTCGGCGAGGGCGTCGTAGGCGCTGCTCAGAACGCTCTGCAGCTCCTGCGCGCCGCCGGGGAGGGGGGGGGGAGGGGAGGCTCAGTGCTAGGGTGGGGCCAGCGTCTCTCGGTGTGCTCAGGCAGGCTGCATGCCTGCACTGTGACGACTCCATCCAGTGAAACTTCCATCTCGACGGGCCAACGCCCGCTCCCGCCCGCTGGCCGGTGAAAGACGCAACGCGCGAGGCGCGGCGCCTCCACCAGCGCGGCGTGCGCCCGCCGCACGGGGACGACCGTCCCGGCGCAGGATCGCCAAAAGCCGCGCGGGCGTGCGATCGGCGGGCCAGCCGCCTCGAGCTCCTCCTCGCTCAGCGTCGGGAGAACCTCGACGCAGTCGCGATCCCGACGCACGCGACGATAGCAGCAGCGCGCGACAACGAATCCGAGCAGCGCGACAAAGCAGCCGAAGACGGCAGCGGCGACGAGAAGCGGCAGCGGCGGAGGTTCGAACTGTTGGTCCATGGATGACTGGCGGGCGCAGAGCGCCGGCTGTGCTGGACAGCCGGAGTTCCCGTGGACAGCAGCAGCACGACGTTCCAACGGAGGAGAAGAGAGACCACAGTGAGTTGCACCGTTGCGCGCCCGGGGGGGACCGCGTTCGCGTTTTTTCTTTTGCTACCGAGTATGAGTGTCTGTGTGTCGCTCGTGCGTGTCATCATCTGTCCAGCGTCCACCCATACCGCGTTGGTGTCCAGTCCGAGCCTGGCTGTTCTTCACCTTTCTACCTACCTACCTACCTATGAGTGCCTGTTTTTGTCTGTGTGTCGCTCGTGCGTGTCGTCATCATCTGTCTAGCGTCCACCCATACCGCGTTGGTGTCCAGTCCGAGCCTGGCTGTTCTTCACCTTTCTACCTACCTACCTACCTATGAGTGCCTGTTTTTGTCTGTGTGTCGCTCGTGCGTGTCGTCATCATCTGTCTAGCGTCCACCCATACCGCGTTGGTGTCCAGTCCGAGCCTGGCTGTTCTTCACCTTTCTACCTACCTACCTAGTTAGAGAGATTTTTATTAACCCACAAGAAATTCTCTTCTTCCTAGTTATAAATTATCTCTCACATGGGCTCTCCGGCGTACCAACTTCTTGATTAAAATGACCTTGTGGGCACGGGACGCGGCACAGAAAGAAAGAAAGAAAACAGACAGGGCAAAAGGGAGGGATGGGAGGACGGCACAAACGGGCACAAACGCCCTTATACTTTCTCTCGAGGTCTCCAGGGGCTGAAAGGCACCTCGGTCTCGACCACGACCAGGAGAAGGACCGAGCCTCTTGTGTATATGGGCCCCCGCCTGGCCGTCAGCCCGCAGCAGCTTCGCGTGCTCGTGCCGCCGCTAGTCGCCACGAGCTACAAGGGCTCGTCCGGCAAGGTCGGCGTGGTCGGAGGCTGCTTCGAGTACACCGGAGCGCCGTTTTACGCTGCTCTGACGGCGCTCAAGCTCGGGGCCGACCTCTCCCACGTCTTCTGCGACGAGGCGGCGGCGGTGCCGATCAAGAGCTACTCGCCCGAGCTCATCGTGCACGGCTGCCTACGCGGCGCGCCAGAGGTGCGGACACGCATCCGAGACGCCACTTCAGAGCTTCCGAAGGCTGTCCACTCCTGCCACTGCCCCGCGCAGGTGGACCTCGCCGAGGTGGCACGCCAGGCAGACGAGGTCTCGAAGTGGTTCCCTGCGCTGACGGCGCGCTCTGTCCCTAGCAGCACCCAATCTCACCCCCGACTCAATCAAAACGGTGCCTCGCCAGGCGCTTGTCGTCGGCCCCGGCCTCGGCCGCGACGCGACCATGCAGGCGGTGGCCGCCCTCCTCCTCGAGCGCGCGGTGCGCGCCTCGCTGCCCACACGCTACTGTACCCCAGCCCAGTCGTGTTGCTCTCATTCCAACCTACCCCGACCCGCACCCAACCCTCCCCCCCCCGACCCGAGGTGCGCGCCTCGCTGCCGTGCGTTATCGACGCCGACGGGCTGCGGCGCGTCCATGGACTCTCGCCCGAGATTGACCGAGATTGACCGAGATTGACCGAGATGGCCGGAGATGCCCCGACACTGACCGGCATCGGCCGCAGGTGCGTCCTCGAGCGCCCCTCGCTCGTTCGCGGCGCAAGATGGGCGGTGCTGACGCCGAACAAGCCAGAGTATGGCCGGCTGGCGGGCGCGCTGTCGGGAGACGCGGCGCTCGACCCGGCGGCCAATGGAGATCGCGCTCGCTCTCTTCTCATTCGATCGAAGCGAGCAGTCGATACTCGACCAATCAATAGGCCGACAGAGACTGGCTCTTCTCGGACCCTCGCGTCACTTCGATAGCGAGCAGAGGTTCGTTGGTTAGCAGGCCGACGGAGATCGCGCCCTCCTCGCGGTGGCGGAGTCGTTCCGAGACGAGGGAGGGGCGGGCCCGGCGATCGTCCAAAAGGGGGCGGCCGGCCCGCTTGTGCAACGGGCCCTCGGCCTATCAGTTGGTTCACGAGTCACTTGATTCATGTAACAGGCGACCGGCTGCCGTGCGACTGGCTCCGCTGTTGATGAGTTAAGAATGATTGATTCGATGCGATAGGCGACCGACCTGCTGTGTGACGGCACGCAGCTACTCGAGTGCGCCGAGCCAGGCTGCCCCACTCGTTGCGGAGGCGACAACACGAACTCATTTAATCAATCCATTGATTATTAGCCAGGCTGCCTCAAGAGGTGCGGAGGGCAGGGCGACGTCCTCGCCGGGAGCATCGCAACGCTGCTCGGCTGGGCAAAGGTGGAGGGGCTAGTACTGCAATAAACCCGAGTCCAAAGCGTTGCGCCCACGCACAGAGTCAAGCAGCTAGCACACGACGCCGGTCCGAGCCCACGACGCTGGCTCGGGGAGGCGGCGGCAGAAGCACAAACTCACCTAGTGACTGCACACAGGCAGCGGAGCGGAGCGGCAGGCTGCCTGCCGGCGGGCCGCCGCCGCCGCTGCTCGCTTCGTACGCTGGTTGCCTGCTGACGCGCCGCTTCGCCGCCGCCGCGTTTGCGAAGCACCGCCGGTCGATGACGGCGCCGGACCTTATCGACGCGATCGGCGCGGTGTTTGAGGACTTCAGCCCCGCTTCTCCGGGCGAGCCAGGCTTCACGCCCTGTCAATGAGTACGGTGCCACTTGTGGGGCATGGAAATACCAATATTTGCGCAATTTGATTGTCTTTCACTGTTTTGGGGGGAATAGGAAATTGCTCGGGGAATAGGAAATTGCAAATTGGGGGGTTGTGTTTTCGTCGGTATATGGGGAGGGCGAGACGGAGTACTCGTCGGACGAGGAGTAGTCGTAGTGCAGTGTCACGCATCAAGATACACACGGCGCTCCCTCTGAGATTTGATTGAGATGCAGATGAGCTCGCAAGCTCGCGCGTGTAATTCGTCGATCGGCCGTCATGTTCACACATCTCACTCAAATTCCATGTTCACAGCCTTGTTATTGAGAAGAAAATACCTCCTCTGGCGCTGTGCGCTGGCCTGTGAGAGGTTGAGGTGCGAGCCCTGGAGGCCCTGGGGATGGTGGGGGACTACCCGCTTCACAGCAAGTTTCTCCCCTCCCTGTTTTCACCACCACAAATGCGCCTGCGCGCGGACCCTTACAGATCACAGATCACCTGAGACCCCGGCGCCGCTCGTCCAAATGTTCTACGACCAAATGGAGCACGTCATTTCAGGCAGCCCTCACACTCTGAACCAGCAGCTCGGCTGGAACGTGTGCGGCATCAACGGGTGCATCCTTGCTGAGCACCACGCCGGTGTGTGTGTTTTTCCCGACCTCAGACGGACCCGGCGTCAGCACGAGCAGTCAAGTGGATCCGAAGGGTCCAGCGCGCCGCGCTTCTCTCGGCCTGTCGGTGGGCGGCGCGCCGCGGTGGCACACGCGCGCATGCGCGCGACGGGCTGACCGCGCGTGGCCTTGCACCGCAGGTCGGCCACCAACGGGCGCCGTTTGGAACGCAGGTTTGGGCGGCGGGCGGGCCTCGGGCAAGCGGCAGCGGGCCGCGCCCGGGCGAGAGGACGCGGCCGACAGCACCCCAAGCGGCGCGGCGGCGGCGCCGCTGTCAGCAGCAGAGGCGGCAGCGGAGGCGGCAGCGGAGGAAACCGTGTGCGCCGAGGAGACGGTCTGCAGCTTCCACAGGGCCCAGCCGGAGGAGGCGGGCGACGCCGCGTGGCAGCCGAGGCGGAGTGGCGGCCCTCCTGTCGGGAAGAGGCTGCGCAAAGTTGAGTTCACTCCAGAGGAGGATGAGGCCGTCCTGCGTCTCCGTGGGCAGGGCATGGGGTGGGCAAAGGTCAGTTGAGATCAGTCGAGATCAGCCGAGACCCCGCCGAGATCCAGCCGAGATCAAGCCGAGATCAGCCGAGATCAGCCGAGACCCCAGCCGAGGTCCAGCCGAGGTCCAGCCGAGGTCGGTCGACATCCGCCTCAGCCGAGAGCCGAGATTGGCAGAGATTGGCAGAGATTGGCAGAGATCGGCCGAGCAAGGGCGACGGCCCGCATCACCAACCACCCATCATCTCGGGCAATCTCGGGCGATATCGCGTGCATCACCATCCACAAAACCCCCATGCCACCACCGCCCAAGCCCACCACCGCCTCGCCCGCCGCCTCCCTCGCCGCCGCCACCCTCGCCACCATCGCCCTCGCCACCAGCGCCGGTGGTGTGTGTGTGTGTGTGTGTGTGTGTGTGTGTGTGTGTGTGTGTGTGTGTGTGTGTGTGTGTGTGTGTGTGTGTGTGTGTGTCGGAAAGAGAGAGTCTTGCCTTGCCCTAGGTTGCGGCGCAGCTACCCGGCCGCTCCGTGTCGTCGGTCACAAACCGGCACATCCTCCTCAAGGCGCAATCTCGGCGCAATCTCGGCGAGATCTCGGGGCGATCTCGGGTGATCTTGGGTGATCTCGGGGTGGTTTCGGGGTTGAGTTCGGGGAGGAGAACTCGGGTGGTCCGTGTCGGGCGATCTCGGCCGATCTCGCGTGCATCTCGCGTGCATCTCGCGTGACCCTACCTCAAAAGGTGCGGGGCCGCGGGATGGTCCGCCGAGGCGCGGCCGAGGCTGCGGCGGAGGAGGACGGCGGCGAGGGCGCGGGCGCGGGCGCGGGCGCGGGCGCGGGCGCGGGCGCGGGCGAGGAGGGGGGATATCAGGCTTCGACCGCCGCCGCCGCCGCCGCCGCGTCCGCCGCGTCCGCCGCCGCCGCGTCCGCCGCCGCCGCCGCCGCCGCGTCCGCCCCCGCCCCCGCCTCCGCCGCCGCCGCCTCCGAGACGTTTCCTGTCAGTGCGCCGAGCGAGGAGAAGGAGGCGCCGCTTCACCCGGTGTTGCGCGAGAGTGTGGAGAGAGCGTGGAGAGAGTGTGGGGGAGGGGGCGGGGGGGCTCAATGGGGAGGTACGCCGAGATTAGGCGCCGACGCTGGGCGAGGACGGGTTTGCGTATGCGTCGCACGCCTGACTAGAAGCGGAGAGCGCACTGCAAGATTCGAGCTCTTCGAACGAGCGCTCTGTATTCGGCCGCACTCCGCTGTGCTCAGTGCATTCGCACCCCTCGTGTTCACGCGGTGCTCTGAAGACTGCACGAGGGCGCATCCCCGCCCTGCCTCTGGTGTCTCCACTGCAGGCACTCCAGCTTCGACGCCTGGCTGCGCGACGCTTCCCAAGACGAGGCTGCGGACGCCAACCTCGCAATGGAGGTTGAGGAGGAGGAGACCGAGGCGGGCGCGGAGGCGGCAGAGGCGGCAAAGGCGGCAAAGGCGGTGGTGGCAGGGGCGATCGCGGCGGCGGCGAGGTCAGCAGCTGCTGAGGCCGCGGCTGGCTGTGAGCCGGACCCCGCCGCTGACCCTAATCGATACTCCAGATCATTCATGTTGATTAGGCGCCTGTCTGTGCGCCGGACCCCGCCGCCCCGCCCTTGGGGCGTTGCTGGCAGGAGGCGGTGCGTGCGGCAGCGGAGCACATCCTGTCGCGAGTCGATGAGGCGGGCACGCGACTCGAGAACATCAACTCTTCGCGGCTGCAGCTCAAGCTCGGCCGAACGCTCGACGCCTTCCCGCCGCCGCTTCGGCGGGTGGTCGAGGTGCTCGAGCGGCGCGTCGCCGCCGCTTGCGGCCTCCGCCGCGCAGAGCTGCGCGTCCAAGACTGCTATGCGCTCCTCACGCCGGAGAGCGAGGTGGTTCTGCTCACTCACGCGCACCGGGCCTTACACACACACACACACACACACACACACACACACACACACTAACTCACTCACCACGCGCACGCGCACGCGCACTCTGAATGCCGGGCCAGCTCCTGTGAGTCTTAGACGCGGAGTCGCGAGCGCTGCGTGGCCCTTGCCCCACCGCCGTGTGTGTGTGTGGAGAAGTGTACCTGACCCACCTTAGGTCGAACCCGAGGCGCGCGCGCCGCAGCGCTGGCACTTGGACGCGGTGCGTCGCTTCCCCGTCGCGGCGCTGCTGCTGCGCGGCGGCAGGTGGACGGAGCTTGCCGCAGGGCCGTATTTGGACTTCTCAGCTCCCATCTAACAGATTGGCTGCTCCCATGAGCAGGTGGACCGAGTTTGCCGCAGGGCCGTACTCGGACTTCTCAGCCGGCGTGCCGGAGGACACACTCGAGCGATGGTGCGCTCCGTGGAAGGACATCAACGCGCCCACTTGGGAGAGTGGCAGCGCCGAGGAGCGGGACGCTGGGCGCATTTGCTGCAAGCTTTCTTTCTCGCCGACGCGCTTTCTTGTTCTAGGAGTGGGAGCACTGGACGCACCACCTGCACAAGGCTCGGATGGTCGCCTCGGGCGATCTCGGGTCGTCCCAGGTTATCTCGGCTAATCTCGGGCCATCTCGGCGTAGGCGCGGCTAGTCACGTCGGAGGCGCCGCCAGAGTGTGACTGGGAGACCCTCCCGCTCGCGCCGACGCCACGGCGCTCGCACGTCGGCGACGCCTCACTCTTCTGGTCGAACAAGGTCCACACACACGCGCGCGCGCAGACCCCCCCCCCCCACACACACACGCGCGCGCGCGTGCACACACACTCACGCACACACACGCACCGCTCACCCACGCGCACCGGGCCTTGCACTTTGAACGCCGTGGGGCTCCTGTCTTTTAGACGTGGAGTCGCGAGGGCTGCTGGCCCTTGCTCAGCCTCCTCGTGTGAGTGGAGAACTTGGCCTCACCTTCCTTTCCCTTCCCTCCAGGTCCACCGCGGCCCCGGCACAGACCCGGGTGAGTTGCGGTTGGTGCTCTTTTGCTCGTGGATGCCGGCCAGCGGCCGCGCCGCCGCCGGCGAGAAGGGCGGCGAGAGGGGCGGCGGCGCCGAGGCGGCCGCGCGCGGCAGGCGAGATGTAGCCGAGATGCGGCCGAGATGTGGCCGCGGATGGATCGGATGCAGCACCGCCAGGCGACGGCAAGCGCGAGTCGGAGGGCCGACTGCAATCTCGGGTCATCTCGGGTCGTCTCGGGTCATCTCGGGTCATCTGGGGTCATCGGCAGGCGCGGCAAGCGCGAGTCGGAGACGGACTACAACTACTTTGACACGCACCTCGAGTCGAAGCTCGTCCTCTCGAAGCGCGCGTTGCGCAGCATCAAGCGGCAGCTCGCCCCGTGAGGTCCCGCCCCTGCCACGGACAGAGACGATTTGGCGAACGACCGCTCTGCAGCCGAGGCTCATCTGAGTCTTTGAGCTGTTTGGAGCACCTCCACCGTCGGTGGCGCGGACCGCGGTATGCGACACGCGATACCTATAATAGGGGCGGGCGCGGTCTCTGAATCCGCGCGCGCTGATGTGGACGCGGAGCTTTAGACTTTAGTGAATCATGTCGAGGTAGTTGAGCGCTTGGCGCTGTACCGTTTTCTGACGACTTTTTACTACACAGAGATTGACGCAGATACAAGGTGAGACCGGACGAGAGTGTTGCAAAACCAAAGTCTGGTCGTACCGTTGAGTAACAACCAACCATTTCCGGGCCTAACGGACGCTACCCAGGCCTGCCGAGCCCTGTGGTCTGACAGCACGACAGCAAACCCCGGACAGCGCCTGACAGTGCCCGACAGCCTGACAGCGCGTTGACAGCACTTTCTCTGACAGCCACACAGCACGTATCTGACAGCCTGACAGCAGAGCCTGACATCAGAGGTGTGACCCGTCGCTGTCAGGCCCTAACGTGACAGGCCCTGATCAGAATAGGCAAGGGCTACCACTTGGTGACCCAGGTAGCCTCTGGCTCGCCACTTCACTCGGATCCTCTGCAGCGGTCTCTCAGGGCCCACACCCCGTACTGACGCGACCCAGCGCCGACACAGAGAGCGACAGAGACAGAGAGAGAGGCGCGATTGCGTCTCCACGCCGGGTCTCCGTGTCGTCAGGCCCGTGTTATGGCGAGAGCCTGAAGGGTCTTGTATCTCACCTTAGCGAGCCGACTCGTCGTCCTCGGATGAGTCGCTTAGGGCTGCCGCCGTTGTGATCGCATCCGGTCGCGACGAATGACGCGCCGCACGAGCGAGCTTTCATACATTGGCCTGCGTCAAACACAAACAAACAGAGAGAGACGCATCTCCATCGCGTCGGTGAATGAATGAGGGGTGAACCGCGCCATCCTCGATCGCCGCGCAAAGCTCGCTTCCGAGCTCTCACGCCGCGCGTAGGGCCCTTAGGGGCCTAGAGAACACAACCCCCCCTCTCCCTGTTCTCCCAGTAGCTAAAAACACATCACCATAATCTCATTCAACATGTCGGCTTTGGCTTTTCTGTTATCTCTCGAGACATATTTCGATGGGGCTGTGGGGCGTGGTGTGGTGGTGTATAGGGGCTGAAGCGTCTGAGAAGCACACACACCAGCTCCCATCGCCTGCCTGCTCTACTGCTAATCGTCCATCTCCACTGCCTCTGCTGGCGCGTCCATCAAAAGTACAGGACGGACCAGCCGGGCGGTGGCAGCCGTGGGCCTCGCTGGGCCTGAGACGCCCCCCTGTCCGTGCGGACCGCCCTAAGCCGGCGCGCCCGCAACGGCGCCAACTTTGCCATCGCCGTCGAGATCCGCCCCGGCCTTCTGCTCGAGCGAGGCGATGGCGGAGGCGACGGTGCCCTCCGGCGGACCCGGTGCCGACTCGGCTAGCGCCTCAGCCGGCGGCTCCTCGCCTCCTTTCGAGAAGCACTTGCAGGATGGCATCGAGCACTTGGGTATCGAGATTGATGGCGGCGTGCAGCAGGGCGGCTTTTCCTGGGGCTCCTCCTCCTCCTGGGCTTCGACCTCCTCTTCCGGTTCGTCCACAATTATCATCTTAGCCTTGTACTCGTCCTTTCGCTTCTTGACGTACGCCATGGCAGGCTTCGGAACTTTCGGAACGACGGGGCGGCTCATTTGTCTGCGGCAGGCGAGTTGGATGGATGGGTAGGTGACACGGTGGGGCGGCGTGACTGGGATCGCCGTCACTAGCGCCGACGCTAACAGCGACTTTCACTAGCGCCGACGCTAACAGCGACTTGCCGACGCTAACAGCGACTTGTGCGAGCCAGTGAGATGCGGCGGTGTATGTGACGGTGCGCCCTGCGGCAAAGCCGCTGGGGCGACAGAGCCGGCGATGCTCGGAACGCAGCGGTGGACACACCTTTCAATGGCGGCGTCGACCGAAGGCGGGGATCAACAGGTGGCCGACGTTCGCCGGCCGCCTGTGTTTTTCTTTTCCTTTGCCGCTTTGATCGTCAAAGAAGGAAACGCCCGCTCCCGAGATGCAGCGCACGCCCCTCGCCGGCCTGGTCCTCTCGATCCTCTCGCTCGGCCTCGGCCCGCCCGGCCCCTTCCTCGCGCGCGCGCTGCAGCCGCCGAGCGCCGACGCCGTGGAGGAGTCGTGCCGCTCGCTCCGTCTCGCCGGCGCGCTCGACGCGGCGGACGCCCTCACCCTGCTCGGAGCCCACCTTGCGCGCATGCCGCTCGACGTGCGCGTCGGAAAGATGGTGCTGTACGGTGCGCTCCTCGGCTGCATCGATCCGATGCTCACCATCGCCGCGGCGCTCTCGACGCGCCGGTCGCCCTTCCTGGCGCCCTTTGAGCAGCGCCAGGCGGGCCGTAGCGACTTTTTACACGACGAGGCCCCTCCTGAGACCCCCCGTTCAAGACCCGCGCTCACACGCCTCCCATAGGCCCCTCCTCCCAGACCCCTCCTCCCGGCCCCCCTCGCACCCGCCTCGCCCCTGCCGCAGGCCGCCGACGCGGCGCGCAAGCCCTTCACCGGCGAGCACTCGGACCACCTCGCGTACCTGCGCGCCTACGAGGGCTGGCGCGGCGCGAGGCGCGCCGGCGGCGGCGGCGCTGGCCGGCGCTTCTGCGACGAGCACTTCCTCTCGCACGTTGCGCTGGAGAGCTGCACGCGCTGCGCGAGCAGCTCAGCGGCGTGCTGGCCGACCTCGGCTTCGCCAGCAGCACACGGGAAGCGATGGAGGGCGAGGGTGAGGGGGTCGCCTCGGTCCACCACGCGTCGCTCGTGCGCGCCATCGTGTGCGCCGGCCTCTACCCGAACGTGCTGCGCGCGAGGATGCCCGACACGCGCTTCGTCGACACGGTGGGCGGGGCGGTGGAGGCGGAGGACGAGCGCGGGATCGTCAATTTCTACCTCGCGGAGCGGTGGGCGGGCGGGCGCGTCTTCCTGCAGCATCTACGCCTCGCCCAAGCTGCCCTCGGATTGGTGCGTCTACAGCGGCAAGAGGCTGCAGGCGCCACGGCCGGGGGGCGCGGGGGGGGCGGCAGTTGCGGCTGCGGGCGACTACACGTGCGAGCGGTGCGGCGCAAAGGTTTTTGCGTCCAAGCCGGCGTGCTTCCGGTGCGGCGCACCCAAGCCGAGAGGGCCGGCGGCGGCGGCACCGGCACCGGCGGCCAAGGCGGTGGCGCCGGCGGGCGGGGAGACGGGAGGCTGATTGTGCGCGCTGCTGCTCTTCGCGGGCGGCTCGCTCGTTGTCAACGCCGAGGCGGGCACGGTCGAGGTGGACGGCCACATCACCATCGCCGCCTCTGGCCGCGTCGGCGCGCTCCTGAAGCAACTGCGCGCCGAGTTGCTGTCGCTGCTCGCCAAGAAGCTAGAAGAGCCGTCGCTCTCGCTGGTGGGCAGCCCGATCTACGAGGCGATCGTGCGGCTGATCACGAGTGATGGTTTGTAAATAAATAAAGAAAATAAGCAACCGAATGGGCTACAGTGCGGCGTCTCACGCTTGAGTACTTGGAATGGAGCAGTTGTAGCACTTGGAGCGCGCGCGCGGCGCCCATTTACGAGCGATTTTTTTATCCTGGGCTCGTCTGTGGCCTATCCGCCTCGAAAGGCCATCTCCGCCCGAAACCCGCCTGCACCGCCTCACGGCGCGCTCGCTGCACTCACGGGCGAGCAGCTGCTCGCATCGCCCACAACTCGTCGCGAACCGCGGCCGAGACTCGCCCGCGGCCCCCTCTTTTCGTCACGTCGCGCTCGCGTTGCCGTCTAAGCAAGACCTCGCTCCCTCCCTTGCAGGCGCGTCCCCGGCCCGCGGGATATGACCGGCCGTATCATATTGTAGCCGCCGTCTCTGCCCGACCTGCCCCACGAAACCCGCTCTCGCGAAGTCCCTTGAAACCACTCTGCTCCTCGCCCGCACACAGTCGCCGATGACAGCCTCGTCACCCGCGCCGGTGTGTGACGCAGGTGCGGCACGCGATATTCTTCCCGCACGCAGCCCGATCGTGCCGCGTGCGCCCTCTCATCGCGGCACAGCACGAACCTCCCCCTTCACACACACGCCGATGCCCGGAGCCTGCCCGGGCGCTTCTCGGCCCTCGTCGTCCTCTCGCCCCCCCCTCGCCTCTCGCCGTCCCCCACTCCTCCGCACCCGCAGCGGCGCCATGCACCGCACGCTGCGCTGCCCCGCAGGATCAAGCCGACGACATGCCAGCCGCACACCGACACCGCTACGTGCGCCTCGACGCCATCGAGACGCGCAACCCGTTCGTCACGGACGAGGGCACCGACGCGTACCACACCCCGCCGGGACCTGTGCCCGCTCGGCTACTTGCACTCCTCGAGGATATCGAGAACGACCCAGAGCTAGACTACGAGATCGGCGACCGCACCTTTGGCCTGGCGATGGACGTTCTCACTCGCTACTGCCGCTGCGGCGACCCTCTGACGGATGAGGAAAAACGATCCGACGCCGTGCTCGGCAGCTTGAGCCTCGCCTGCAAGTTCAACGAGGTGGACACGTTAGACCCGCTGCTCCCATGGAAGCTCCACAATCTTGTGGCCTATTCGAAGACGAGTACGGTTGAGGCCATCAAGGCGATGGAGCTGGAGATACTGCGTGAGATCAACTGGGACCTCTGGGAGCTGCTCTCCCCCGACGAGGCGAGGGGGCGTTCGGAGGAGGGGCTCCGTGACCCGTGGGACCTAGGCGGTCAGATGGCCTACTCTAGCCAGCGCCGCTCCCGCGCCGCTCGCGACGACGAGCACAACGCAGAGCGCGACCTGGCCGTCGAAGCTGAGAACAAGCGCCGAAAGGCTGTAGCAGAAGTGGAGCGGGATGTGTGGCGTGCCATCCGGCCGGATGCTACCCAGGTCGTCCGCTCCCCGGAGACGGAGTGAGCCCAGCGGGCCGCGGCTGGCGTCCTGGCGAAGAGAGAGCGGCGGCTTGTTGTGACGCATAAGTGGTGCGGTCGTCGCGTGGATGAGCGTGCGTGCCGAGTGGGCCGGTATCTGGCTGTGAAACCGCTCACCGAGAGGGATGGTATCTCCTTGTGGTGGAACTGGAACCGAACCGTTCACGATTCCTCACGAAGTCCGGTCCTCGAGAGTCGGTCAGACACTCGGACTGACCAGACTCCAGTACCAGAGCGTGGACCGCAGCGGGGAAGGTGTGCGTCAGGGAAGTAGAGGGACCGACGCAAGTTAGGGCTGGGAGAACCCTAGCACGCGCCATTTTGGCTGCCTTCCAGCCAGTGCAGCCGTCCTCCGGCCGATGGCTGCGGTGGCTGTGTCCCGGCCATCCGCCCGGCCGCATGATCGCTGTCGTACAGCTGTCGCAGCCATCGGCCGGAGGATGGCTGTCGCGAATTCGACCCAGCCTTCTCGCCGCCCCGACACGAGCCCAGGTGGCTCCACTCTCGCTCCGCGAGCCACCACACCCTTGTTCTGGATGGCGGGCGTCGTTATCTCTCAGCCATCGCGTTAGCACGCTTGGTCAGGATCTAGTGAGCTCAGCCATCCTCCGGCCGATGGCTGCGACGGCTGTATGTAGTATGCTGAGGGAGGGTGTAGAGGATGTAGAGTGTAGAGCGCTGTAGAGCTGTAGAGCTGTAGAGCGCTCTGGAGCGCTGTAGAGCGCTGTAGAGCTGTAGAGCTCTACATCCGCCGCGTGACCAACTGCCTGCGTTGTAGAGCGATGTAGAGGCTCTCTACAACGTGAAATCTCTACAACAAACTCTACATCATAAGCGTCGAAGGAGGCACGGTCGCTCTCCAACATGAGGCGCGTTGCACTTGCCAGTGCTGCCCTGGCCTTCTGTCTGCCCGCCCAATGGGTGGCAGGTGCCTCTGCTGCTGTGGCATGCCTCACGGCTGCGACTGGCCGGCGCCTCGGCGCGTCAGCTCGGCTCGCCTCGCGGGTGTCACTCAGTGCGGGGGATTGCCCTTTGAGCACGCCTGCCCAGAGAGGTTAGTCCCCAGGCCCCCCAAGCGATGGCAACCTTGGCAGTCGGAGGGGCCTCAGCACGAACGCGCTTCTTCGGACGAGCAATGCTCTTTTGGCTCAAGACAAAGCCCCTCCACCTCCGAACCCTGAACGAGATGTTGGAATAGAAGCGGAAAGCGCGGCGGCACGGCGCGTGCGGCAGTGAGGGGGTCAGGGGCAGTAGCGGCGCGGTCGGTGGGGAGGAGCGGGCGGCGCGTCGCGCGGCGGAGAGGTGCAGGCGTCGCGGGCTGCCCGGCGGTGCCGCCGTCGGCGCGGCACGGGCGGAACGCAGACCACCTTAGCGCGCCTGCAGGATTAGGTTCGGGTGCCGAGGGGGGTAGGGGCCTTGTCTTGGGAGCGCCACCTTTTGCTCTTTCCGTGCCCCGTACAAGCGGCTCAAGAAAACTTCAAAAAGGAGTTTTCTTTTTGCCGCAACATCTCTCACCACCAGCGACCACCGGCGACACTAGCGACCACTAGCGACCACCAGCGACCACCAGCGACCACCAGCGACTACCAGCGACACCAGCGACTACCAGCGACCACCGGCGACCACCGGCGGCGACACTAGCGACGGGGAGGAAAGGGGGCCGTTTAAAGCGTAATTGCGCGGCAATCATATCTGTGGTATCTGCGAGCTCGCTTTCGAAAGCCTTCGCGAGCTTTGTCTTTTTGAATCACACACACACACACACACACACACACACACACACACACACACACACACACACACACACACACACACACACACACACACACACACACACACACACACATACACACACACACACACACACACACACACACACACACACACACACACACACACACACACACACACACACACATACACACACACACACACTGATTCGTGATTGCCGCCGTGTCTGACAAGTGTGCTCTGTCCCCGCTGACGTCTGACGAAAACCGGAGAGAGATCTGAATAAGCGCGTGGAAAATATGGCGCTTGTCCGCCCCGCGCGGCTGGAGCGCTCATCTGCCGCCGCCAAACGACATTGGCAGGCCGCACTCAGCCCGTTGCATCGCCTTCGACTTCCACTCTGGAAGCCCTGCCCTGCGCGACACCTCCTCCGCGATCGCCCATGCGTGGCAGCGCCTCGGGTGGCACCTGGTGGAGGTGCGGCCGAAGTGCGGCCGAGGTGCAACCGAGGTGCGGCCGAGGTGCGGCCGAAGTGCGGCCGAGGTGCGGCTGAGGTGCGGCCGAGGTGCGGCCGAGGTGCGGCCGAGGTGCGGCCGAGGTGCGGCCGAGGTGCGGCCGAGGTGCGGCGACCTCTCGGTATCTCTGGGCGATCTCTGGGCAATCTCTCGGCGATCTCTCGGATGGAGGCTTGGGCAGCATCGGACGGCATCTAGGCCCGGCTCGATCTCGGCTAGATCTCGGCGCCAGCAGAGGAGGCGCAACGACTCGCCGTTGTCCTTGACGCGGCAAACCAGCCCCTGGAGCAGCGCGCCTGTAACGGGCAGATCTCGGATCGCCTCGCTGATCTCAGCTGATCTCGGCTGACCTCGACGCCCTACGGGCAGCGCGCCCCGCTCGGCTGCGGCGTTTGGCCGGCGGTACCGGTCGTCGACATCGACGTAGTGGCGCCTGGCGAGATGTGGGGAGATGCGGGGGGGTATGGGGAGATGTGGGGAGATATGGGGAGATATGGGGAGATATGGGGAGATGTGGGGAGATGTAGGGAGATGTGGGGGAGACATGGGGAGATGTGGGGAGATGCGGGGAGATCATCGACGGAGTGGCGCCTGGCGATGGCGTCGAGGCTGGACGGCCCACCCTCCCGTAGCAGCGCCTCGAAGGCGGCGCACACAGGGCCGCGGAAGCTCTCGTCGTGCCTGTTCACAGGTAGAGGTGTGAAGAGACGCCGTCCACACAAGGCCGCGGAAGCTCTCGTCGCGCCCGTCGCGGCCCATCGGGAACGGGTTCCCCAGCGCCGTGCCGCGGTCCACGCGCACGTCGCAGTACCCTGGCGGCGCCGGCTCGACGGGCGTCGCGTCCTTCCCCTGCAGCCGCCCCACGATGACCCGCGCGCCGTGCCTGTTCACAGCCAGAGGTGTGAAGACACGCCGTCCACACAGCCCCACGATGGCCCGCGCGCCGTGCCGAGGCGGCTGGGCGGAGGGCGGCGCCGGCGCCTCCGCCGCCTCCGCGGCGTGCTCGGCGGGTTCGGTGGGGGCCGTCGCCTGTTGAAGTGAGCCGCTGCTGCTAGTTGCGCCTCGCCGATTTGGCTCGGCGGCGGCGGCGGCGGCGGCGGCGGCGGTGGTGGTGCGGCGGCGGAGGCGGCGGTGGTGACGTGTTGGTGGTGGTGGTGGGTGTGGTGGTTGAGGGTGGTGGTGGTGGTGGGTGTGGAGGAGGGTGGAGGAGGGTGGAGGGCGGAAGGCCGCCTCGTCGCTGCGGCTGCGCTTGCGCCGGCCGCCCTCGCGGCTGCCGCCCCGTCTTCCGCGGTCACGGCTGCGGCTGCTGCTTCGCTTGCGGCTGCGGCTCCTGCTTCGCTTGCGGCTGCGGCTCCTGCTCCGCTTGCGGCTGCCCCGACCCCGACTCGAACCGCGGTGGCGGTCCGGGCTGCTGCGCTCCCGGCGGCCGCGGCCGCGGCTGCGGCTGCGGCTTCTTTTCTGCCGGGCGCCGCGGCCGCGCTTCCTGGCACTGCGGCTGCGGCTGCGGCTGCGGCTGCGGCTGCGGCTGCGGCTGCGGCTGCGGCTGCGGCTGCGGCTGCCGCTGCGACTGCCGCTGTCGCTGCGGCTGCGGCTGCCGCCCCTGCGCCCGCTGCTGCTCCTGCGCCGCTTCGAGACGCCGTCACCGTCATTCTCGCGGCGGCGGCGGCGGCGGCGGCGGCTGCGAGATTGGCGCGTGCCCTCCTCCCCCTCCTCCTCCCCCTCCTTCTCGTCCCCATTCCGTCGCCCGCTCTGAGTCGAGGTCCGCCGCCCGCCGCCCCTGCCGCCTTCTCCGCTTGCGCCGCCTCCGCCGCTGCCGCCGCCGTTGCTGCCACCGCCGCTGCCGCTGCCGTTGCTGCCACCGCCGCTGCCGCCGCCGCCGCCGTTGCTGCCGCCGCCTCCGCCGCCGCCGCTGCCGTCGCCGACCGCAGGTGCCTTGGGCCGGTCCCACGACACCGCGTCGGTCTTGGTGTTCCAAAAGTAGACGCCGCCCTCGCCGGACACCTCCTCCCACCCTTGCGGCAAAGCACCTCCGCCTCCACCTCCGCCTCCGCCTTCTCCGATGCCGCCTCCGCCGCCTCCGCCTCCGCCTCCGCCTCCGCCTCCGCCGTCCTCGCCGCCGCTGCTTCCCCCCGCGGCCTCATCGCGCGGAGGCAAGAGCAAAGGCGAGCCACCCTCGCTGCCGCTCTCGCCGCCCTCGCCGCCACCTTCGCTACCCTCGCCGACACCCTCGCCGCCTCCCTCGCCACCCTCGCTGCCGCCCTCGCCGCCGCCCTCGCCACCTTCGCCGCCGCCCTCGCCACCTTCGCCGCCGCCCTCGCCACCTTCGCCGCCGCCCTCGCCGCCCCCCGCGCCTCGCCTCCTGCGCCTGTTCCTTTTCTTGCGCGGCTGGCGACCGCCGCCCTCGCCGCCCTCGCCGTCGTCGCCGTCGTCGCCGCCGCCACCGCCGTCGCCGCCGCCGCCTTGAGGCAGCCAGCGCTCCACCCTCTCCGCCTCTGGGGAGGGCCGTGGCCAGCCGCCGCGCCGCAGAGGTCGACGCCGGCGCGAGCCGTCACGGCTGCTGCTGCCGCTCCTGCGCCCGCTGCTGCTCCTGCGCCTGCTGCCGCCCCTGCGCCCGCTGCTGCTCCTGCGCCGCCTCGAGACGCTGTCGCCGTCACTCTCGCGGCGGCGGCGGCCGCGGCCGCGGCGTTCGGAGTGGTGGTGCCCGCCCTCCTCCTCCTCCTCCACCACCTTCGCCTGCCGCCGCCTCGAGCTCTCTCGGCGGCCCGGCGAAGGCACGTGCGGCGGACGTGGCGGCAGAGGCTCTGGCTCTTCTCTCCGTCCTGGAGCCGCGGAGGAGCCGGGCGCAGCGTGCGGCCGGGCGGCGGCCGCTGCGCCGGCGGTGGGTAGCGCGTCCGCACCAGCCTCCTCCGCCGCCGCCGCCAGCTGTCCTCGCGGCGCGTGAACCTCGACGGAAGCCTCGCGCACCGCAGCCTTCTCGCGGCGCTTGGCCTTCTTTGCCTCTTTGCGCTCGGCCTCCTTGCGCTCGGCCTCCTTGCGCTCGGCGCCCTTGCGCTTCACCCGCTTCTTCTCCCGCCGCCTCTCCTTCCTCTCCCTCTTCTCCCGCTTCGCCCTCGCCTTCTTCGCCTTGGCAGCCGCCTTTGCCTTCTTCTTCTCTGCCCTCCTCTCCATTCTCATCCTCTCTACCCGCCTCCGCTTTTGCTCGACCAGAGCCTTTATCTCCACGGTACTCAAGCCCGCTACGGCCACACCTTTGCCGCTGGCGCATGGCGCCTCTGCAGTGGCCCTCTCCTGGTCCTCGTCGTCGCTGCTGCTGCTGCTGCTGCTGCTGCTGCCCCCGCCGCTGCCGCTGCCACTGCGGCCGCTGCTTCCGCTGCTGCCGCTGCCGCCGCCACTCTGCGCCATATATATATCGTCCACGAGCGAACCGGACAAACGCGAGTGAAATTTCTTTTCCCCAACAAGCGTCCCGAGCGACCAATGTCGTGAACCCTGCTGGCAAAAGAAGAAATTGCGCGTCGCGCGGCCATGCTTGACCCAGACGCCCCGGACCCGCGGCGGATCCTGCGGGACTGCATGGATCGGTCGATGGCGACGATCTCGCGCCTCTCGGCCGCCAGTCCGGCCGAGATCCGAGCGATCCACGAGCGGCTGAGCGAGCGGGACCGCTCCCTCCTCGCCGGCCTCTACGGCAAGACGGCAGCCGTCACGCTGGGTGCGTCGGGCGTCTCGCTCTTCCTGACGTCGGCGATCGGCCCACGAACGGCGGTGAGCGCAATCCTCGGAGGCATCACTGCCGGCGCCGTGGGCGCCGCCACGGCCGTCGCCGCCGTCGCAACACGCACTCCGGACGTGCTCCTCGAGGCGGCGCGCACCGGCGGGCCGAGCGCTCTCGCGGACGAGATCGTCTGCCTAGATGCGGAACACAGATCAGCCTGTTCCGTAGCGCTCGAGAGGACACGCACTGAGGCGCGCTCCGCTGCATTCGCAGTGCTTGTATCGCCATTGTTCCCGCAAAGACACAACCCGAGCCCCACGATAACGCACACGGCAGTCGAGAACAGACGGATCAACACGAGGCGCTCGGACGCTGTGGCCCGCGACGAGTTCGCGCGAGAGGGAGCCATCTCGCAGAAAAAAGAAAGAAAACCCCCAATAAAAAATCATGCGCCACTTTTCAGGAGAGCTCTCCGCGCCGCTCCGCGGCCCCGGCGCCCCCGCGGGCCGCGCTAAGGAAGGCGTAAAATATTGAACATATTGCTCCAATAGTTAGAGAGGCTATCAAGACTTTTCTTCATATCTGGGGCCTCCGGCGAAGTCTAGTCGCCCTAAACCACCCCGCCCTCCGGGCATACTCCGAACTCCCACACGACAACACACGCGCGGCCGGCGCCTCTCATGCCCTTCTCCACGCACACCGCGTGAAAACTGCGCGTACGTCCCCGCGCGCACGCAAACACGCGCAGCGCCATTTCAGAGCTGTGCCATGTGCGTCTGCCCTGTGCTGGCGCCCCATGGCCGTCCCGCGCCGCCCGCACCAGCTGCGCGCCCCTCGCACTACCAGAGTCAGCCGCATATCCACTCACGCCGCGACGCGCGCGCCGCAGCACACCTCACCAGCACACCTGCGCCTTTTTGCGCCCTGTGCAGGCTCTGCAGACTGCTTCTGGCATCCCACAAGCGGCTGTACTAGGACGCGCCGCGAGTGCGACGGCACCGCGCAGGCCCAGGCGCGCACGCACGCCCGCACGCGCGCTCGCTCATCCGCCCAGTCTGCTATGCACAGCCTGTCAGCCTGCCTGCACACACAGCATACAGCACCATGTGCACGCATACGCTTAGACGCAGCCCGCACCCCACTACAATAGCCTGCCTCACGCCTCACCACGCCGTCTCGCGCACACCGCCAGCAGCCCGATCAGAGAAACTGCAGCGCGCGCCTCTGCACGCCTGCAGCTTCTCTGCATTCTGAGACCTTCTCAATCCACCCCGCCGCCGCGCCTCCCCGGGCACACACCGCAGCAGTGAAGATGTGAGTCGAAGTATGGGATATCGACCGAGCCCGCGCCTGCCGCACACGTCTCCGTTTCTTTTTACTGCCAAGCATAAAAAGAAAAAACACCATGGCGAAAATCGTTTAACAAACGCAGCGACGACCAGCAGCAACGATTTACAGCAGCGTCCTGCCGAGTGTGTGTAGCACCGACGCAGACGCACCCCAGGCACTACACTACGACGGCTAGGCAGACCTCACCAGTCCGATAAGGATCAACTGGAAGGTTGAACCTCGAGCTTAGACAGAACGGGCGCGACAGACTCCAGGGGAGATCGCGCTCTACTCGGGGCACCAAGGAGGAAAACCAAAACCGTTTGGGTGCCCTACAAAAACCCAAACGCTACAACCTAAAAGTCACACCTCCCCCCCACGTCCCCCCCCCCTTGGGGACGTAGCGCACGCCCTTACTCGGAGAGAGTGGGGGGGGAGGGGGGGTGGGGGAATAGGAGGAGCCGTCGAGCTCGGAGTAAGGTCCACAGTAGAGAGACAGGCATTTAAGGCGTAACTTCACCCTCGCTCACCTTGAGTATATCTAGGCGCCCTGGTGCAGTCGGTCTTCGGATCAGCGGCCAGCTTCCCATCTAGGGCAGGGAACCCCCAGCGACGCTAGTGTGGCCTACGGTAGCCTCAGCTTGTACGCGATCCCGGGGCAGGGGGGTGTGGACTCTAGAGCTCCAAGAAAGGATAGGGAGAGGAAGGGAGATTGGTGTGCCGGTTTTTCGCGTTAGCAATTTTTTTTTTAGAGAGGCGATCAATATCAATATATATATGTCAATAGTTAGAGGAGAGGCTGGGCCTGGGCTGGTCAGGACCGTCAGGTGGGTCCATCCTGGGCTTGAAAGTGGCTCTAAATCGTTGAAAACGGGGCCAAAATCGCTTCAAAATCGCTTAAATCGCATAAAAATCGCTTTGAACTCTTGATTTTTTTGATTTCAGCCCACATCTAGGCAATGTTTGGGACAAATGTCGACATTGGTGCTTTTGGAGGTTAAAATCAGCGATCAATATGTCAATATATTTTGTCAATAGTTAGAGGGGATGCTGTCAATAATCAATATCAATAGTTAGAGGGGCGAGAATCAATATTTTACGCCTTCCTTTTAGGGCCGCCTCGAGAGGCCATGCAGCCCACACCCTCAGGCGCCGCCGTGTCGCGGGCAGAAGGGCCGCAGTGAAGGTGTATCTGCCGCCATCTAGAGGAAGCCGACCCGGTCGGGTAGGGGAGGCAAGCGCGAGCGGGTGGAGGGGCAGTCTCGACCCGCCTACGGCGTTGTGGTGATGGAAGGTAGAGCCGTATGTGGGCGACCTTCCATTGAGTCATAAGCGTCACCGCGCGCCGCCATCGCCCGCCGTGTGCTTCTTTGCCGGTGAGCGCGCGGCGCAGACACCTATCGTCAGAGGGGGGGAGGTTGTCTGAAGCGCGAGCGAGCGTTTCGTCGACCTAGAGCCCGACAGCCGCGACAGCGGCGGCCGGGCCAAGGCGGCGGCCGAGAGGGTGCTGCTCGTCGAGCCAGCGGCTGCCGCTGGCGACGAGGGGGGTCCGGGACCGCGTTTGGGGGCGGGTGGTGCACCGGCTCGATGCCGGGCGAGCGCAGCGCCCTCCAGTCGGAGCGGCTCGGGCGAGCGAGGCGGTGGCTCTATGGGCGTTTAGAGGGGCGCCCATCGCTTCTCGCCGCTCTGCAACGCTGACTTTGGCACATCGACGATACACCGCTCGCTTATTCTGAGAGCGGATTTATTTTGCAATGACCTGTGGCGTGTGTGTGCGTGACTGTGCCTCCCGCAATAAAATCCACAAACCACCGGGTTCCGTTCTCGTCCCCGCGATTGCCGATACTATCGCGTAGGCCGGTCGGACCCGATTTTATTAAATTTTCAAGTTTAAGCGCAGACCTCAAGACTTGAACGCAAGCATGTTCAGGCCATCTAGAGTGCCGAACAACATCGCACCGGTTCGATTCGCGCATCACGGCCGCGCAAACTGGCTGCACTGCGGCGCGAGGCTCAGCGGGGCGTCCGGACCACTGACTCGGGCGATGTGGTGGTCGAGCGCAGCCTTCTTGAGCTGGAGAGCCGCCGCAGTATGCGCGGTGGATGGGACGTCGGCCAAACCGCGACGCGCAAGCTGCAGGGAGGAGCTACAGCGGCTCCGCTCCTCATGCTGGTTCGCCAAACCGAGACGTTGAGGTCCTCGTACACTCATGTCGCGCCTCGAGTAAGAGCCATCACGCTGCCCAGCGCTGGACCGTCGTAAGGTCCGGCCTTAGGCCAGCTCGCAGCACTGTATGAACTCACGCTGGCGAGCACCATCCCAGGATGAGGCCTTCAAGAGCGCGCGCCAGGGACGTCCGTATGGCAAAATCGGCGTGAATTCGCTATGAAAACGCTTCCAACCCATCAAGAGCGGGCTCAGAAGAGACGATGCTAACCCAGGATCACCAGGGCACCTTAGGGTATCGAAATTTTCCACCCCCCCACCCCCTCCCGCTCCCCCGGCCCGCGCCTCTCCCCCTAACTAACACACCGGCACCACCGCGGACACCCTCACCAAGCCTCTCCCCCCGCCTCGCCGCTCTCGCGGTGCAAGCCGACTCCTGGCGACCGTCCTGGTCAGCGGCCCTTGCCAGGACGGTCCGACCGCCGCGCTCGCTCCGGTGAGCGAGCACTACAGTAGCACACCGCACCTGCACCGCCTGTAGTGGCACCGGCACCAGCCTCCCCAGCCCCGCCTCTCCAACGTCTCACTCGCCACCCTGCTCGCTGCCGCCCCGCCCGTCGCCACTGCCACTAATCTGCCGCTCCGCAGCCCGCTCCACCTTCCCGCCCGCAGCGCCTCCCGTGCCGACGCAGCCTAGAGACAACAGAGCTGGGTCAATATCACCGCAGGGACGCCTCCTCTCGACATGGGACAGAGCCTCCTCCGATGCGTCAAGAGAGCGACGGCCAGCA